GCCAAATTTGGCCCGCGGGCCAGAGTTTGACACCTATGCCTTAGACGGTGTACAAAGGTGTAATCAGAAGCTGATTAAGAAATTAAGAAAACTTTTCTTTCCAAAGGTGTGGGGGGAGATTAAAAACTAAAAAGTACTAAGGGGCTGGCATCTTTCAAAAGTCAGAGACTCTCCCCACCACTCCACAAACACACTTTTAGAAATACCTCAACACAAAGGAAACTCAATTAACTGCAACTATAGCAGCCATGCATCACAAAACAGTTGTGAGCGACCACATGCTCAGTGGGCGATAAGCAGGCACGGTCACAGGTGTCTCTTTGAGCGTGAGGTAAAGAGCATCTTGTAAGATGTAAACTTTCCACTTTTAGTAAGAAACAAAGGATCACAGGCCAGTCTTTGTACAAAAACCCAATTATGTAACTTTATTAACATCAATGGTTTTTTTTTTTATCATCAACAGTTTCTTTTGAAATTCCAGTTCTTTATCAACAAATAGAAAACAGACTGTGTACAACAGATCGAACCCCTACAGCACTAAGCATTCACAAGGTAAAAATGAACATTTGTTTTTTTTTGCCAGCGTTTTCAAGTCCCCCCACCCCACTCCCTCCCATTCCTCCCACCACCACCACCACACTTAGGCCTTCTGGATCTGAAGCTCCCCTCCTGCAGTTTGTGTGGGAGAAGCTGTGTGCTTGAGCAGTGCGATGCCCGTGGCGAGTGAGGAGTCGTCCATTTGATGGGGTCGGGGTGTGTGTTGGGGGGGGTTTTGTGCTGTTTTTCCTCATTCGGGCGAACAACCGGCTGTCAAAGTTACTATGGTAGTACAGTAGATACAACGGGTGTTTCCATTAATACACACGCTAGGACAGCAGGCTCTCTGCGGTGTCTCTAGGTAGATCAGCAGAATTTATCCTTTTTAACAATATACTTTTGAAGCTGTGTATATATCTATGTGTAATTGTACATATATATAATCAATCATAATTATATATATATATATATATATATATTTATAGTTCTATTTCTGTATAAAATAATATCAGTCCAAAGGGCTGAGTCTTTTTCCCTCTGGTAGGAATGGTTGATTCTGTACAGGTACCAACGCTGATGGCTCTGCTCCTCAGCCCATATGAACCACTTCCGCTCCCATCCGGTCTGCGTGGTTCCACTCCAGCAAACCGAGGTTAATGGTGAGTGAGGAGATGGGAGGGACTTGAAGAGCATCTATGTTCAGAGAGCGGAAGTTTATATTCTGTTGCCTACCCTTTGGGTATAAAAGTTTGTCTTTCCTCAGGTAAGTTCTCCTCAGTGGAGTATGAAGGCCTCAATGCCATAGGCTTCTGATGAAAAAAAACAACAAAACAACCCAAAACAAAACAGGAAAAAAGAAAAAAAAAACAACAACCCAAAAACCGTACAAATAATGTGCTTTCCATTTCTGTACAACTCTGATTTAGTCTCTTGTTAGATATTTCACTTGTGTTTTTAGCTAGCTACCACGTTTACAAGACAACTACAGCAAGTCTGTGCTCTGAAATCAATTTTCTCAGTTGATTTTTTTTTTCCGTACACTTGAAACGGCAAGTGAAAAGGCAAAATTTGAGCTATTGAACTGAGTAAGACCAAAAACAACGTTTATGACACATAAAATGATAAAAACAACAATGTGATGTGACAAAAAAACATCTGAGAGCAGCTCAGAGAACAGTGGTCCTCCTGTATTAGTACCTAGGAACATGTTAAAAACACATGTCCCCTCTGCTAAAGTACCCTATAAATGATTATGAAAATAATGCATACCCGAGGCTGCTGGGCAGTTTAAGACAGAAGAAATGCATGATATTAAAACGATTATTAAAAACAACCCCCAAAAAATGTATACTAAACAATAACGTTTGACAAAATGAATCATAAAAACACAATAAAAACAACAACAAAAATGAAAATGCTCTCTTTGTGCTACCAGTAGCCTTTGACAATCAGGGAGGATTGGCTTCGGCGGAGCAGAGAGGCGAGCTGCCAGTCTGCGCCGTCGGGTCTGTACAAGAGTTGTCATAGTTGTCAATAGTCACTGTAATGTTTTATTATTTTAAAGCAAAAAAATCTCAGGTGGTTGGTTAACTCGGCGTGTATCTCTGTGATTGGATAAAAACCGTCAACGGGTCAGCAAGCTCATCCCTTTCTCCGCCCCTCCGGTAGCTGCGAGGGGACAGGGTTTGTAGCGGGGTGGGGGCGGGGACTGGGGGGGATCAAGTGATTGGATGGCGGCTGAGATGGGACACTTGGCACACTCCTGAGAGGTCTGACCGGGGAAGGTGCTCGGTGGGAGTGGTTACGTTGCATAGTGGTCAAAGCTCCCCAGGTACTCCAGTGCTGCCCTGTAGCACAGCTGGTACTGGTCCTGTAGAGAAGAAGGAAGAAGACGGTGAGAAAGTTGTCATCGATCTTCCTGCTGTTAAATATAATGACTGGTCTCGTCCAGCCAACAAAATATTCATTAACTTGGTTTAAAGCAGCATTTCTTGTAATCTGCATTTATAAACGTTTCTTCTAAACAAAGCTTTAAAAAGCAGGCCAGACGTATTCTCAAAACTAGCTGTAGTACTTTCAAGTATTTACACTAGAGGCGCTACAATGTTTTTCCTTTTCTTTTTATATCTTAAAAAGACATTTTTATATCAGAAACCTTAAAAGGTTTATGAACTCATTTGAATTCACACCATGTCTTTTTCCCTCTAATATCCTTTGTTATGTAACGTATTTATGATTTCTTCACTTGAAGAGAATGTGACGCAGGGCTGCTTTGATAGCATTAGTTGAATTTGCTGTGGGATTTCTTACCCCCCTCCCCTCCTCCCAACAACCTTATTTTTTTTTGATTAAAGGAGGATTTGTCAGTAAGTCTTTGCTTTTATGGCACCAAAATGAAAAGGGACACTTCAGATTGCACAGAGTTTAAATCAGAGAAATATACAATGCTGACTTTCAAACGCTGTCCTGCCGCTGCGGGAACAATCGCCTGATCAGTACATCGCCCTTACCTCTGTCTGCACCATGGCGGGCCGCTGGGTGCGAAGCGTCTTTACTGTCTGGAAGAGGTCAACCACACCTTCATACCTCATCCTCTCTAGCACGATGCTGAGGGTGATGAAGACTCCGGTCCTGCCCACCCCGGCACTAGCAAACACACACACACACACACACAGACAGTGTTATTACAACTGCTGTCTAAATATTCTAAATATGCAGAAATTTCAATCGTGGTGGGAGCAGAGCCCAACGCACAGTCGTTCTCCTCACCTGCAGTGTACAGTGATTGGTCCGTCCTGTCCAAACTGTTCCTTGGTTTTGTGCACCTGTCCAATGAAATCTATGAAGCCTTCTCCAGTTTTTGGCACTCCTTGCTCTGGCCAGTCGGTGAACTGGAACTGGCGGATTGTTCTGGACTGGCCATCCTGAGGGGGGAGCAGATATGGAGCTTCAGAGAGAAGTTTCATTTAAAAGAGAGACCCAGCTCTCTGCTGTACTCTGGAGTGGGCGCTTCACAGATCTCGCTGTGCTTTGAACTCAAAAGGGGGGAAAAATAAACAACAACCCAGCAGAGGGTTTCATGTCGAGGTTTATGAGTATCCTGTTGGCTGTCACTGCAGCCATCTGATCATCAAATATCTACCTCAGACGCAGTATGAATAAAGCTGACCACCTGGATCACAGTGACAGATTTGTGGCAGCGTAGTGTCAGAATTATGCGGAGTAAATGAGCACATTTCTAAACATATAATTTGTTCAACCTTTGTTTATACAGGATCGCAGAAGGGACCATAAAATGTGGCTCACAAAGCGAAAACATACATATAGACAAATATTCAGGTCTGCAAACTGCAGAGAGGAACATATATTTATATACACACACACGCGCACACCCATATAAAAGAAAGAGTGGATGTGGGATTAGAGTGTTGCTGTGCTGGGAGCCTTCAGATGACAGTAAAGTATATTTATAGCTCATTGAAACTACTGCATCACAGGGAGTTGCAGTACTGGCCCTCAGGGATTGAAGGCTATGCTTTTCATGTATTTTCACAGCGATCGTGAAACACACATGCGCCGGCGTGCACGCGCACATACAACGCACGCTCACATCTAGAAGCACAAAAACCGCGCACGATTCACAGCACAAGCACGCTGATGCTAAATCCGGGTGAAAATGTTTGATGGCGCATTCACTTGATGTCAGCCTGTCAGGAAAAATAACACAGAGCGCGTTCTGATCATCTCTACCTTGAAATTACAGTCGGTATAATTCTTAACACTTAGCGTGAATGTCAGCGTTCGGATGAAAACCTAAAATTAAGATGGATTTTTGGTTGGACGGCTGTATTTGTGGAAAATGCCAATGAACCTCCCCACCTCCACTGCCTTGAAGACATGTACGTAGACATATTCGAGTCCACACACACACACATGTGGGCACATCTGCAGCGTTTCACACACAGAGTGAACTCACCCTGGCATCTGTGACTTTGAACTCTCTGAGGATGTACTGAGGCATGTTGTACTCAGCCATCGGATCCACCACAAAGTACTGGTACCTGGCTGACCGCTCTGCTGGCCAGTACTGATGACACTTCTCCTACAAGAGAAAAAGAGAAGGAAGAAACTCTCAGCTCTTAAATTTAAACAACCTTTCTCCATTAGGGGAAAAATGACTGCTCCGATTTGTTATTGGTACGTTTTTAGGACGGGTTACTGTACGTCATTAATCATTTGGAGTCATGAGAACGGCTCTGCTTACAAAAGAAAATCCTGATAGACTAATCTGTGGTTCTGAAATACTACCTGATTCATCTTAGGTGGCAAAATATTTACATAATTTGTTTGTGTTCTTAACTACAGCGATGATTTGCATGAGAGCTTTTTTCATCAGCTGTGATTACGGCTGAGAGGGTGATAAAAGCTGTAAAATGCAGTTGAGTGCTGTCAGAATCACCTGCATAATCACAGAACCGCTCACAGTAAGATATTATGGATTTAATCAAATTGCTGCCAAGATGAGTGCCCCATTTTTTTTCCCTGTAAGGAATGTGACTGATGATCTGAGAGATTTATTCGCCATTTCGCTGAAAGTGAAGTTTAGACAATATGATTTTTATGCTGTACCCTTAAAATGTGGAGCCAACACTTGGTTATTTTAACTTGTCATTACAACTGAAAAGAACCAACTTTGCACTGTTTAAAGGTTAAGAAACAATAAAACCTGCAAAACAGTCTAACAGTACCTCTTTGAGGGGAAGGCTAACGAGCGGTATGCCATGATGGAGCCTGACTTGCGGTTTGCCCCCGTATCCAGCCTTTGTGTTACGCTAAGTGTTCCCTGAGTGCAGCTTTACAGTCTATACTTCGCAGGCATATAATTCAGAGAGAGGATGCGCATCCTAAAACTAAAATCTAAGTCTCAAAAGTAGTGACGGCGTTAGACAATTTGGAGTTCAACCCTTGAAAGAAGAAACGAGCTCACAATGCCCACGTATAGACACTGTCGTCTCATTTTTAGTCTGCGCTCGCGTCTTACCCGTCCCATCTCTCGTAGCTTGGTGAGCATGACAACAATGGTGGAGTTGTGCTCCCACAGCATCCTCCAGAAGTCTTCAGTGGTTTCAGCCAGCGGGCCCTGGGTGGCCAGGTAGGCTTTCTGCTGTCTGAAGATGCAAATTCACACAGAGGAGGCGAAGAGTAAAGATCACACATAATAATTATGAATTTTATGGTGCTTTTACAACTGGCATTAAGAAGCACATCCCAAAGCAATAACCAGAAAGGATTAAATGATTAAAGAAGAGCTGTGGCTGCAGAGTGGTTAGCAAAGGAATTATTCCCACTGTGCTTCCAGAAAATTACGTCTTACAAAGTCCTTGAATACTCAGACATAAACTTATTGAAATGAAACTTAAAGGGCAGAAAAACAAAAACCCAACACATTTGCATGACATTTACAGTATATACACATTTACAGTATATACACAATGTGATATTTAGTAAAGGTAAACAAAAGCAGCTTGAAGCTGTTTAGCTGGGTATTTCAGATCCTGTTTGCAGGCTTTGTATACGCTGAAAGTGTGACAATGTCAACAAGACATTTCCTGCATATTTACTGTACATGGTAAATAATTGATGGCAGCTATCCTCATTCTTGAGTAATCTAAGCCTGTAGATCCTCTGACCCCCTCTTTCCTCTTTGAAACACAGACTTAGAGAGAGAGAGAGGCAGCACTTGATATGCTCACAAAACGAGAGATGAGCTCATCCACTGAGGTGCCAGAGCTGTGCTGGTGTCCTACGTGACTTTGGTCCAGCTGAGCAGTTTGTTGTGTCAAACAGCAGGTGGCAGCAGTGCGCCGATCAACAGAGAGTCTCTGAGTAATCCAACACACAAACCCAAGCAGAAGAATGCATGTGCGCACACACTCTCACATGTTTGCAACACATGCAAACTGGCATCCAGGTGTAGGCATTTTTGGGTGCAGAAGTTCTGCAAGTATATTCACATGCAGACACACGCACGCTGAGCCATGGCTGAACAGCTAATGAAGGTGCTGCAGGCAAAGCGCTAATGTGGAACTGGGAGATTAGAATGTACTCTGGGCCTCGCTCACACAAACACAGAAACAACAGATTGGGGGAGAAGAGATGACATACAGAGAGGGGGAGGCGAAAAGAGTGAGGAATCAAATTAAAAAGACGAAAACGGGGGGAAGAAAGCGCAAACTATACAGCAGAGATGTGCAAAGTACTGAGAGGATGTTGAGATGAGATGAAAGAGCGAACGCTGCTCTCTCCAGCTGGTCATCAGAGTGCAATGTAGGACTCGCTGCCGAGGACGAGGAGGGTGGAGGGAAGAGAACAGAAGAGAGGAGGCAGGGGGAGAGGAAAAGGAAGAAAACGAGAAAGCAGGAAAAGGGGATTTGAGAGCAGCAGAGGAAGAAAGGGAAGCAAAGAAAAAGCAGAGCTAAGCAGGGGATGAATACTAAAATTTAAATTGATAGGGTGGACCCCTCTAACCCTCCCATAAAATGGCCCCTAACCAAAACAAAAACAATTCAAAGTGTATCACACAATAACAACTTCGCTGCACAGTGTCCCAATGAGCGCACAGCCAAACAGCACAAAGCACTCTCTGCATCATCCCACATGACTGCAGTGCTTCAGGACATAGTGTTTCATTTCAACCTCATTACAATGCTAAAACTCCAGCCCGCATCGGAGCATATCCAGGGCTTGCGCCCCTGATAGCATAGCTGGAATCAATGGCTCGCCTCTCATTAGCTTAGCATATTATTGGCTTTTCTTGAAGGCGCTGGGGTGAAGGGCACTGGAGGCCCCTGTTTAGTTTTTATTTATGCCCGCGTTTAAAAGCAGCTTAATTACACAGTGCCGCTGGTGCACACAACAGGTCCCCACCCGGATGTCTGTCTCTGCCATGGTGTTTGGATGGAAAAATTAAGATGGCGAGTGGGAGAAAAGGGTGGGAGGAGATAGAGAGAGACAGGGAGAGGGGGAAAGAAGTGCAAAGGAGACAGATTAGGGAGGAGAGCAGAGAGAGACACAGATAGAAAGGGGTAAAAATAAAGAAGGAAAAAGACAGAGACGGGCGGGGAAAATAGAAGAGAGAGAAGAAAAAGGCAGGGAGGGTTTTAGAAAACGCACTTCATTACAATACTCTCTTGCTGCAATTATGCCATTTACACAGCAACAATGGAGGGTCTGCCTCTGTGGAGCACCTTCTCATTAATAACAGGACTGAAGATGGGGGCGGGGGAGGGGGATTTGGGAGGTGGGAGTTGACGTGTTGTCTCGGTCACGGCCCCCATATGGACTAAATGACATTTCATGCTACCTGACTCTATCCGCTTTACTTCCACCATAGAGGAGCCATCTCTGCCCATGCTTGTATAGATATAAAACAGAGAGGCACCTTTTCATCTTCCTTCCTCTAGGAAGCAATTTGGACTCACAGAGCTCACAGGGACAGCAGCAGAAGCCTCAATATAAAGGCAGCAGTGGCTTACTGAATGAAAGTCACATTGACATAGCCGGGAGTAATTCTTATAGCTGAAACTGCCCACTGCTGCCTCATCTTCCAATCCCCTCCCATACGTTTTATCCACTCCATTGTGCCTTCCTATGGTATTCTTTACACCTGTAACAATCGGTGATGCCAAAAAAAAGAGAAAGAAGGCTGCAGGCCTGCTACATGCAGTTGCATTGCTTTGCTGTTTTAAGCCGGGACTCCAGGACGCTGAATTGGAGCATGGCTGCAGAAGAGTGTTTACATCCACGCTGGATGAATCATACAGGAATGAAAACCTCCAAGTCAGGAGACAGAGGCTAACTAGAAAGGTTAACAAAAAAGTAATTATTGTATTTAATATTTGCTTGCAAGTCCTGCTCTATCAATGTCTGCCTGAGTTCTAGTACTCATTAACATTGGCAGACACTTCCCTGGTGATGCTCTGCCAGCTCTGTACAGCATTCATCTTCATTTTCTGCCTTCAGTCTGACCCTGTGTATAAAAAGGGTCTAAAAGCCTTTTACTGTTACCACAAATTAGATGTGAACACCCTCAAACAACCACAAATGGTTTGCCTGGTGTTATTTTGTACTCTCTTAATGTTTATGAATCCACTGACAGAAACAAAACCAACAATTTCTCGATTGCACTAGTTTTGCATCTGTTGCCGAAACCTGATACAGTTCATTTTTTTAATGCATTACATAATTTGTTTTTGTCTAAAAACTGTTAAAAACCCATCAACCTTTGAAATGTCTCTTAATTACGATTAGCATTCAAATTATAGTTTATTTAGAGCCAATCCCAAATACAGGCAGGGGCGCCAACAAGGGGGGCCGAGGGGGGGCACAAGAAAGAGGAAGACACCCTACAATAAGTTGATTAACTTGTTATTTATTCCAGCATATATAATTTCTGGCATTCCTATTATGTCACTCTGTATGTCCCTCACGATTTCCCATCGTCACCCCCTCCCCTCTCACACACACAGACAGAAGGTTGGTGGCACACTGTGTGACACCCCAATATTCTTAGTGGCCCTAATATGCCTAACCCATACAGGGCTGTCCAAACTAGCAGTATGAACAAGCAGTGAAAGCCTACACACAGCCTGTCTACTACAGACAATAAACAGGGATGGTGATGCGCAGATGATGGTGGTGAATTTTGGGAAACACTCATAAGGACACTTCAAAGACAGCGTGGGAAACTCTTCTATTACTTGGTGCTGTTTGTATTTGGGGATACCAACAGTATCTGAATAAATTACCCCATAAATTCTCCACTTAATCCTGTTAGTTTTCCTTAAAGTAATGTTTGAAACAAGGCTTACATTTTGTTTTAATACAATTTGCTTTTTCAGTAGGAACAAACAGGCTTGGAAATGTGAGTCAAAGACACTGCAGTATTTGTAGTGAAGTTAGTGGATGAGTGGTGCTTAGCTGGTTTGGATTTGTTGACAGAAAAACACAATAACGCCACACTCGCCTTTTACAGCAAGCGCAAGATCAGCTGTTTAAATTCACAGCCGCTCAGATCTCGAAGATGAAGTCCTTTACTGACCTGTAGCCATCGATGCAGCTGGCGTTGATATAGTCTGAGCCCTCGACACCTCGGATGGGCTGCAGGCAGACACGCGTGGATTCGAAAGGCATGATGTTCACCAGGCGGTTCTTGAACTTGTTGCAGGGCAAGTTGGCGCTGATAAAGCGTGACGTGTGGGCTTTGGAGTTGGCCAGTCTCTGTTTAAGAAACGGTGGGAAGAAACCAGGCAGGGAAAGAGATAGAGAGAAAGAAATCAGTCAAGTAAATAAACAAGGATGCCTCTCTATCCATAGTTTCTTTTGATTGGATACCCCTACCAAGTAAAAGGTTTAAAGAGCAGGTGGGCGGGGTTACATTGCTCGCAGCCAGAATTATGTGTTTAAGATGACCATAATAGGGATATCTGCTCTCTTTGACATTACAGAGTACCAAGAGTTAAAAAGAAAACTGTTTACAGGAGTCTGAAGCACAACTCGCCACATTTACTATGAGCATTAACCACTTTAAGGAAAAAGCATAACAGGTCCACTCAAAAGTTTACTCCTAACTAGAGATGGTCTGATTCAGAAATCTGCTGTCTGCAGTAGACTGTCTCCCATAGCGTCCCAGAGCTTGCTTGAAGGACTGTAGGCGTGACATGCTCAGTGCTGGCAGTGGACAGAGCACAGATGGACAGCACAGGAGCGTGTATGCCCAGTTATCGTACTCCAGGAGAATTTGTGCACGTGCGCGTGCGATGTGGCCAGACTGTGTGGGCATGGAGGCTGTGGCCCCCACGTACGCCACAATCATTCTCTCACTCTTTCATTCTCTGTTGTTGGCAGGAGTGTAGATGCTATTATCACTTCAAACAGAATGGATCATGGTCATAAGAGGGCTAATGGCAGAGCCGCGCTGGGAGGAGAGTGCGTAATAACATCACAGTCAATGGCTATTGACAGAAGGTGTGCGCGTGTGACTGCGACCTTGAGCACCAGCTGTGTGTATGTGCGAGTGTCAGTCATTTTGTAACTCTCCATGTGTATGTGTGCTCACGTGTTGGTGTTTATGGGTGCTTGTTCTTGTACATTTGTCCCTGAAACATGTGTTGGTCTGTATGCAGTGATGCTGCCGTGCAAACGGCTGTGATGTCTCAGCGCTGATGTCACTGGTTCAAAAAAAAAAAGAAGAAAAGAAATTCTTGTGCAGTGGCCGATTGGGGGAATTAATTATTTGTGACACCGACACAGATTTTGCAGCTGCAATCCTTTGCACCTTTGACAAGATTCCACCATAAAAGTAGCAGGTTTCGTTAATGTGAGGAAAAACAGGGAGAATGGTAACTTTATTTTGTAACTTTTGTTATTTATTACCACTTCCTGTGCAGCAATCCATTGACTTTTACACACTCTTGATCAGTGAAAGTTGTTCTTTAAGATTAAAGTTAAATATGCTTATGTAATTATGAAAGAAATTTCTTTGATGTGTGTGCGTCAATCACCTTGAACTCCAGCTCCATAGCGGTGACCGTCTCTCCAGGTGCGGGCTGGGTGAGTTTCTGGATGTGGGCGTAAAGGTTGCGGGCTGGCACCTCGGTGTTGCCGCAGGTAGCGGCCTCCAGTAGGGCTTCATGAATAAAGATGTACTGGTCCTCAGTCTGGACCATATAGTTCCTCTGGGCACGCATGCACGTCACATGGCCGTATATGTCTACAGATTTCTCATGTTTCATGCGCTCCAGCATGGCATCGATCACAATGAAGCAGCCAGTCCTGCCCACGCCAGCACTGATGGAGAGAAACGGAAAAATTAATATGTTTTCCTGTTTGTACAGACGATCATCATGCGGTGGAAAGACATCATTAACACAAAAAACAAACATGCAATCAGGAGGACTGTAGAGTCTAGTAAGATTCCCGGTTCTTTAATGTTCTCTCTACACTTGACAGCTGAAAACTCAGCATCTTATCATCCGGGGTTAGTTGTTTTACACCTGCTAACAGTAACAAATTACTGGGGCAAATTAATATATCATTACTCTATAATAATACCATCAGCAAATTAATATCAGTGTCCACAAGAACAACATTTTATCATCTCTGTTGCAAATGATGTCCTTTACAGAGCAGATTCATAACTCCTGTTGTTACAAGTACTTCCATTAAATATATTTTAATGGTATTTCAGTTTTTAGTATGTATCTATTATTCTGTTTGATTAATGCACTACTAAAAACACAGCTTGTTTCTTCATGTTCCCACCTGCAGTGGACCACCATGGGCCCTGCATCTGGAGGATTGCAGGCTTTTACCCGCCGAAGGAAGGCCAGGATCGGTGTGGGATACTCGGGCACCCCGTGGTCTGGCCAGGCCATGAACTGGAACTGTCTCACCTCCCTCTTTTCACTGGAGCCATTCTGTGGGTGAATCAGTTTAGTCAATAAAACAGGAAGCCTAGTGGGAGATCCTGGCATGGTAAAGTGTAACTGGCCCCTTTAAAGTAAGACATTGTCATCTTTAATAAGTAAAGGTCATGCTGTTTTTTTCATGTGATTCATCATTCTTCATCGTTCACGTAAAATCTGCAGTAAAATCTGAAAAGCACATGTGATTGACTATTTTAAGGTCTCAAGTTAACGCATAACTTTGATAGCAGTACATAGAGCGCTCTACTTTTAGGCCTGTGATCATGCTGCAAGTGTAGGTGTAGATAACATGTATAATTTTGGAACTGAGCCCCAGCGGTTTCTCTGAAGGGGTTTCTTGGCATTGTCACCATTTCTGATTGAAACCAATTAATCGTTCCAGCCAGATACTTGCATTTAATTAGGAATTATAATAATGTTAGAAATTATAAGCAAGTGATGGAAAAAAAGAAATGGAAGAGGAGAAATAAAGGACAAACCATTAGTCACATCATCACTGCACTGAAGTATATGAATCAAAGTGAGAGAAAAAAGTGCTTCTTAAAAGAAAAAGAGATGAATGTTGGAAGTTACAAAAACAATTACAATAATGGAAAAATTATTCATGTATAATAGCCTTTAACTGTCTGCAGAAAAATGAGGAATTGCATTTAGACTGCAAATGAAAAAAGGCTACTCTACCTTGTAGAGGGCGAAAGTACGGACGCTGTACGTTGCCAACTCTACAGTGTCCAACATGGTGACCTGGATCATCCCATAGGTCTCTGTTCCTCGCGATGGCCAATACTGGTCACACTTCACCTGGCGAAGCAAAAGAGAGGGCACGCTGTCAGGAGCGAACTGCTGCGAGTATGCACCACAAGGCTAGTGAGAGGCTTGTAGGATCACACTGATTAACAAGGAGGGAACATTAAAGAGGTCAGATCAAAGGCTTTGTCCACTGTCTAATTAAAAACTGAAGACTCTGCATCAGCTCGGGTATCCTCAACAAAAAAAAAAAAAAAAAGAGCACCGCAGAAGCAAGCTTTTGCATGAGCGTTCATGTGTGTCCGCATTTGAAGCGGGCTTCAATAGAGCATAAAAAGTCCACTTTGTCTTTTACCAGCCTGTGATCATTTTCAATTAGCTAATTGTCGGGTGGTTCGCACTCCTTTGTCATGTATGCTTTTGGCGCATTTGTGCTGATTGGGTGCTGCATTGTGGAGGGAGATGTGTCTAAAAGCCTGTTCTGGCCAGCCGTGAATGGACAGCAGGTTCGGCCACCTGGCTCCATATGTGCTCCATATCTTTGGTCTCATCCACAAACTTCGCTGTGGATGAGACTAAAGATTCTCCAAACACTAGCACCGAGTGTCTGTGTATCTCTGAAATGACGACTGGCCTTCATTTTACTCCTTGTGGCTTAGCAACGTGTAGTTGTCACTACTTTAGAATAAAAAAGAAAATGTTTCTTTTCACAGCTATTCTTCACTCAGAAATAACTTTTCCTGACCAAACTGATGAATTTAATTGCTGAAGGTAACTTGGCAAAAACTGGACTTACAAAAAATGCAATCACATAATCAGTCATTTCATATTTAGAAATGCTTTCATCGCCTTCAACAACTATTGAACAAAGTTTAATGGTTAAGGTGATGAATCACCTTGATACCTAAACACTCGGAATAGCCAGCCTGGTCTTGCCCAAGTGGGAAATTCTCAGGCAGAAACATGAAGGTAGTTCATTCATCCCAAGGTTATAGGGGCATAAACATGGGATGGCTAAAGGTCAAGAAAGAAAGTCTGAAGCCCAGTCCTAAAAACAGAGAAGGTGTCTGTCTCTGAAATTCAAACTGGGAGTGGTTCCTATTCTACTTCTGGAAACTCTAGCAACCACAAGGGGTCTGCACTCAGAGTGATGTGCTCTTTTGAGATAAAATAAGATATTTAAGACATGTTTATAATATCCTCTCTCTTTAATATACAGTCTGTGGTCTTCCCCTCTAGTTCCTGGCCTGTCTAAAAATGTCTTTGGAAGCACTTCATGTTCAGTATGACCCTTTCAAGGCTTTTTCCCAGTCAGTTACAGGCACGGAAACAACAACTACAGAATCAGCTTTAACGTCAGGAATCCTGAGACAAGAACTTGCTGATATTGATTTGGATAACATGAGAGGAAGAGATGTGGCACGGGTGAGCTAATCATATTGATACTGCAGTACAGAGCTGACATTTGGAAGCACTTTGGCTGTCTCAGAAAGCTGGTAAAAATTGACAAACAAAATGCACTAAAATTCACCCCCTCACATTTCACCTCCCCCGGTGACAGCTTCCATTCAGAGGCAGAGGCAGAGCTCGCAGGAGAAACTCAATTGAGTGATGGGGAACTGCTTCCCGTACAAACATATGGATTAGCAGTCACCACTGTAATGAATATCTTTGTGCTGCCTGAGGTTGGGTGGCATATTCTCCTACACAAAGAACTACAGAGGGACACACACACACACACACACACACAGACTCACACACACACACAGGCTCCAGGTTTCACTATCATCTGCTTCTGCTTTGAACCTTGCTTTCTCACATGTCGTCACCTGGCCTTTTGCAGCTGGCATAGACCTCTTATCTACACAAACACACACACACACACACACACACACACCCAAGTGAGTAATACCACTGGTCTCATTTCAAGTCCTGACCTTTTAGGGTTTTACTAACTAGTAATGCAAGAGGAAGCAGAAATTGTTCCTCCAGCCGGATCTCATCATTATATTTGTCAAGCAGCTGCTCTGTTTGGCATGAGACGTCAGTCTAACTGGGTGGTGGGAGGTTGACTCACGCACCATATGCGCCTGAGTGCATTTGCGAGAGAGACGCAGACAAATAAAGATTGTGTATTTATATAAAAGGAGTGGACAAAAAAACAAAATTCCCTGAAACAGCGAAGTAAAACCACGTGTCTAATTAGAAGCACAGGCATTATTTTGGGATGATTTTGCAAATGTATCAATGCATTTCTCTTCATTATCACACTGCAAACACTGTTTGTTTGATACAGTTTGGAGCCTAAGTGTCCAATATTATTCCAAAATTAAATTAGGGAATCTAATCAGTTTAGTTGACTGTTGGCTGTCTGATACTGTCACATACATGCCGCTAATCATGATTAAACTAAATGTTTAATCTTCTGTATAGAGAAAGACTGCTTTGATTTGTATGCACCACGTGTATCACAATATGTTTACAAAGTATTACTGCACAGCTCTTTGTGAGCGTTAAGCTATAAGCTATACTGAAAATAGAAGTTTGTGGAAGGTTCATGCAAAGTAAAAATGATTTTGGAGGGGTTAACACTGCACCGAGACACCACCTCCTGGTTCGGAAATGAAACTACACCCCTAAAGCTTCGTCCACCACTCTTGTGATGTCACACACAAAAAAAATAAAAAAATCCAATGTAGTCTGATATGATTTGGAAAAATACTTCCACCCCCAGCTGGTCGAAGGCGGGTTTGGTTCTTTGTGTCTCTCTCCATGGTGTTGGCAAACCAGCGGATTTCAAAATGTGTGTAGGAGGTGGGGATTGGCTCCGAGGCCTATTCGTTTTTCTTTAGGTTCCTCATGTCGTGGTGTTTCAGTTCTTTATATCCTTATGTATATGCACAGCCACCACTCTGGGCTCAAAGAAGGAGAGCCTGTTTATCTGTCACAGGGCTCTGAAATTGCCACTCAGACGCACTAAATATACCAAGAGGCGTTAGTGAATACAAGTATGTCCTCCCCATCAAGTGAATGTGCAATAAAACTCATCTAATCAAGCTGAATATATTCTCCGAGGAACAAATAAATGAGTTCTGTTCTGAGAAGACATATTGTGCTCACAATTTGCCTAAATGATTGATTGCACTGATAGCTTAAAATTAAAACAGATGATATGTTGTGAAGGATAGCAAGTAATTTAAAGCTTGACAAAACAATTGCGAAGAATCAGTATAGATGAACTCAGCTTCAGGTAATGATCTTCTCCCCCAAAACAGTTGAGTCTGGGATTTTGGAAACAAACTCTTATTTATACTTCTTCTCTTCTCCCGTTCTTTATCTGGAGACTGTCTTTTATTAGGGTACTGTATGCATACGCTAATAAAACAGCACATACTGGCAAGGCTCCATGCTGATATTTTTTTCCCCCCTCCAAGGAATTCATGAGCATGATTTTGTGATGGTAATTAAATAAACCCAGTCCAATTTTGAATCTCAAGTTGTCTGGTGCTCTTTCTCTTTTTTTCCCCTCTTCTTTTATTAGCATAGATTTATTTTAGGAGCCCACAACTGTTGTTAGATGACAATCCTTTTTCATTCCAACTTCAGAAATTTCATTATAGTGCTGTGGCTTTCGTGGTATTACTATATGTATGGAACCTTGATAAGGAAGTGCCAAAAATAAATACGCAGAAATCGAGTATTGAACAATTTTTAAATAACCAAAGAGAGTTTGCATTATCAGATTTGAATACATAAGCAGTGCACATGCATCACTTTCACGTGGGACTGTTCAATAGCAGGATTGCAAAGTTAGACGCAAAGTTGCCAGGATAACTTCATCGTAAGTGACAAGCAAACAACAGGAGGGGAAATCGGAAACCGTACGAAGGTTTGTGCTGTTACCTCACAAACATATTTAGACAGAGTTCACGCAGAAGTTTTTTAGAGATTGCCGAAGACTGCGGAGAAGAGCAGCAACATGAAGCGATACTGTCCGCAGACAAGCAAAATATCCTTTGAAGTCCTTGTGACTTTGATCAGGCTGACAAATCCAGCTTTAAAGCAGGACTGGGTGTCTATATGCCTTCAGGCTTTGTTGGGTGTAAAGTTCCTCAGTGTGAAGCTACATAAATATATATACACAGGCCATTTGTGTATCAGAAAACTCCATTTCTGTCCACTTTTTGACTTCCAAAC